CTTGTTAATTAAAGACACTGTGGTCTCAAACGCATAATCCCAAAAACGAGAAGGGGCAGACGCCTGAGCCAACAATGCCAAGCCAGTCTCAACAACATGGTGATGCCTACGCTCAACTCTACCATTCTGCTCATGGGTATAGGCGCAAGATTGCCTATGAGTGATGCCAAGAGAGACAAGGGTGGAGTGCAATGTTTTATACTCCCCCCCCCCCCCCCCCCCCAATCAGATTGAACAAAAATTATCTTACGGGAAAAGAAACGTTCAACTTGCATACGAAAGCGATCAAAAATAGCATATAAATCAGTTTTCACATGCATTGGATAAAACCAGATATATCTAGAAAAATCGTCCACAAACAACATAAAATAACGAAAGCCATTCGAAGACAACAAAGGGGCCGGACCCCATATATTTGTATAAATCAACTCTAATACATGACTACTAGATCGTTCAGTACGAGGCAAGGGAAAACGTGAGGCTTTTCCCAAGCTGACAAGCAGAACATAACGAAGAATTAAAACGAGCAGAACTAATAGACAACGAATCTAAAACTTGATGTAAGACCCGAAGGTGAGGATGACCAAGACGGTTGTGCCATACTGACGAGGAGACACGAGCAGCTAACGCAGCAGGTTCAGGTCTCGGAACGGACCACGAATAAAGACCACCCGAGACACCCCCTTTATGCAGGACCTCCTTGGTGGTAAGATCCTTCACAAAGAAACAGTCAGGGTGAAATTCAAAAGAAACATTACTGTCAAGTGCAAAATAACGAACAGAAAGCAGGGAAGCAGAAAGACCAGGAACAAACAAAATATCAGACAAATTTAACTTTCTACACTTAGTGGCTACCACAGAAGATCCAACACTAATAATTGGCAAACCTGAACCGTCGCCAACACGGAGTACATCTGTACCATGGTAACTGGCAGCCGAGGACATCACCGAGGGGTCCGGTGTGACATGGTTCGTGGCTCCGGTGTCGGGAAACCACTGGTGAGAACCAACCGAGCTACCATCATCCACAGGATAAGCCAAGTGTGCTTGCGGCCCGGGCGCACCATTGTAACGCCGAAAACAACTCAAGGCAGAATGCCCTTGAGCATTACAAATCTGACATCGTAAGCCACCGCTACGGCCGCGCCCCCGGCCACGACTGCGCCTTCCGCCACCACGACCGCCCGGCTGCTGCTGTCCGCGACCACGACTGGCTGCAAGAGCCGTGGGAACCGCCGTGCCAGCACCGTCATCTGCGCAAATGAATTCCTGAGCGATGAGAAAATCAGAGAGCTCCGCCAACGTGACCGGCTCACCGGTCGTCAAAGTAGCCACCAACGGCCGGAATTCCGGCCTCAACCTGCGGAACACATACAGGTTTTGATCATCCAACGCAACTAGTCTGCCCGCCAATGCAAGGTCCTCAACCAAAAGCTGCGCCCGGCCAAGATAGTCAGCGACCGAGGCATCTCCTTGCCGAAGCGCCTGCAGCTGACCAAGAAGATGAAGAGCGCACGAGTCGCCGAGCCTAAGGACTGCTCAGTAGACAACCACAACTGACGGGACGTCATCTTGCCAACCGCTAGATGCATGACCTCCTCATAAAGAAAGGAGATTAGCATCGACAATATAGCCTGATCCTGCTGAGCCCAGGCAGAACGAGCGAGTAACGCCGCGGACGTGGCGGCGGCATCCACTGCAGAATCCGACGGAGCAGCAGCTTCACCTAGAGAAGGCACGGAAGGACACGGAACCGAGCCATCAACGAAGCCAAGAAGGCCTTGGCCACGAAGAAACGGAAGCAGTTGCGTCCTCTAGAACAAGAAGTTGCGGGTAGTAAGTTTAACGGACATGAAGTGGTGGGCTGAGGAAAGTGAATTGCCGGCAACCACGGGAGCAGCCACAACCATAGGCTGAGTGACCGTGCGCTCTGAAGAGACGCCGACGGAATGATCATCACTGGGGTTTGCCATGCGGAAAAGAAGGAGAGAAAACCTAGTCTACGATGATACCAGATGAGGATTGTATATTATTTGATCAACCATAACGAGAGAATACAAGAGTAAATATAAGTACAACAATAGAGACCTATCACAACTCTAATACTGTATTCCTAACAGAAAGCACACGATACGCTGGTCATGAAATGCTTTTAATGCAATGTTAATTCTAAGACTTCTAACACATTACAAGAACTATTCTCCTTCTTCGTTCGTATTTATCCAGCCTAAATTAAAAATATTCCTCTTATTGCCAGTTTCGAACAAAAATTTCAACAAGTACCTCGTGCATGGTACGAGTCTATTATGATCCTCCCTCAATTCCACCTCTTGCTAATTTTGTCTCTTTGAATTGTCTCTTTCTTGCCGTTCAGGAAATAATTAAGGAAAGGGGAGCTATTTTACGGACCAAAAATAAAATATTTCTGTATGAAACCTATGTTATTGTTAATTTTGTCATTTTTTTTGCTATGTTAAAAACAATACATCAACGACAACGGTTAAATAAAATTGTTGTCTTTATTAAAAAAAACACATACAAAGACTACGATTTTAAAAAATCGTTGTCTTTGAAGTGTTGTGTATTCAAGTGTGCTGAAAGACAACACACAAATAACAACGGTTAAATGAAATCGTTGTCTTTAAAAAAAAAATTTAAAAAGGGACGCAAAGACAATGGTATGTAGTGTTGTAAATTCAAGTGCACTTAAAAACAACACACCAAAAACAACAGTTAAATAAAATTATCGTCTTTTATTTTTTTTTAAAAAAAAACCATGCACATAGACCATGATTTTAAAATACAGTAAAAGACATTTTTTGTCCCAGACTTATAGTGGCACGGACAATTTTAGTCCTTCATAAAAAATTTGGACAATTGATAGACACACTTATTGTGACGAGGACAATTTTGGTCCTCCGTCTAATTTCCCGTTAGATGGCTGTTTGAGAGGAGGGCATTTGCGTCATTTCATGATATCTGCTTCTTCTTCTTTTTTTTTTTTGAAACATTATTCCATCGTTTCTGTTGGAATTGAGAAGTCAAATTAGGAAGGGTTCCACTCAATTTGTTTGAGCTCAAATCCACAAACTCAAGACTGGCCTCCCAGCTTTGTATAACAGATATGTCACTAGAGAGCTCATTACTGCTTAAGTCAACCATCAAACAATTTCCTATAGAAGAAGGGAGTGAAACTGACAAGAAATTTGATGAAAGATTTAATGCCCTCAAAGTTGTTGAATTTACTTTCTCAACCGAACCTGCAAGCAAAGGAATTGGAATTTGGGATACTTGAGACAAGATGCAAGAAAACCCAACACACTGCTTAGTTTACAACTAAAGAAGCTTGATTAAAAATGCACACAAAAGACAGCATGGAAGTTTTTCCAGAATACTAAGATCATGCTTGCAAGGTTAAAAATGCAGTGCTCATTAAATGACTAAAAGTTGTGTGCATTCAAAGTTCTCAGCGAATCATTTGACTGTTTCCAATATCATCATACAAAGAAAAACTGCAAAGTAATTTCCATTGCAGAAACCCCTTCCCTTCCTAGTAGACAAAATCGATTTTTCCTTCACTCAATTAACATGACAAATATCATTCATTTAATATGACAAATAAATGGGCATCAAGATAGATTGAGCATATAAGAGATAGACATCAAAATATATTGCCGCTGAGATCTAGTTCCTCCAATGATACCTAGCCATGAAGAAGTTCCTTTGGAATTGAACCGTACAACTGATTATGTGCAAGCCTTAACACCTTTAGATTCGGCAATGAGGTGAAAGAAGGAAGCTGTTTCCCCATTAATCTGTCGTTCCCCAAATTCAGAACCTGCATATTCCGAAACATCTGCATCGATTCTTCAGTGAAGAACGCCCCGACCAATTTGTTGTGGCTTAAGTTCATGTAATGCAGTGTGTTAGCGAAGCTAGATAAATGATCTTGAGGGAGGTCATGTAAACTATGGTGGGTACGACCCGACCCGTGAACGAATTACCCGAAAGGCTAAGGTTTCTGAGCTGCTTAAGCCCAGTGAGCGTGGAGAACCTCAAGTCACCGGCTAAGCCGAGGCGGACGAGGACAATTGCGGAGTCGGAATCGGAGGCGGAGGCGGAGTCGCAAACGCACAGCAGATGCAGCAAAAGATCAGAAGAAAAACATTACGAGAACGCGACATTAGAGTGAGTGTTGTGCTATGAACGAGAAATTAAGATTATCATAATCACAGAGTTTGAAGAGAAAGAGAACAAAACAGTAAAACGAAGCTTTTTACTGCTTCCATTCCATCTAATCTGCCCAATAGAAATGGAACTGTGTTCCCACTACAGTCTGCACTTTGCAGAGAAACATTGTTTAACTCTCAGGGATGAAATAAAGAGAAGAGATACCATGAAATGACGCAAATACTCCCTCTCAAACGTCCATCTAATGGGAATACAGATGGAGGACAAAAATTGTCCTCGTCACAATAAGTGTGTCCATCAATTGTCTAAATTTGTTATGAAGGACTAAAATTGTTCGTGCCACCAGAAGTCTAGGACCAAAAATGTCTTTTACTCTTTTAAAATATTATTAAAAACCTTTGAAGATTGAAAACAGTTGTTTCGTTTCATTTCGTGTTAGATATATTAAATATAATATATTTAATATAATATATATTAAATATAATATAATATATCTATAATATATATTAAATATAATATATATACATATTATATTTAATATATATTATAGATATATTATATTATATTTAATATATATTATATTAAATATATTATATTTAATATATCTAACATTTGGTATCATAGCCAGTCAACCTTTCAACCCCGAGATATTGTTCGTAGTGAAATATGACTGCAAATTTTAATATTGTATAGACGGGTCCCAAATTGGACGGGAAACTCGATTACAATTATTGGCAAATTATGATGTCCACACATTTGCAAGCTCAAAATCTTTGGAGCTTTGTTGATCCCGGTCTACCCGAAGGAGCTGAAGCAGGCGCTATACGGCGAGATAAATTGGCCTTGGGTCAGATTCACCAAGGTGTTCATTATTCCATTTTTGGGCAATTAGCTCGTGCTCAAACAGCAAAACAAGCTTGGGACATCTTAAAGGTGTCACACAAAGGAGTCGATCGGGCACAGAAGTCTAAGTTGCAGTCGTTGAGAAGGTTGTATGATAATTGTGAGATGACCTCTACAGAAACAGTAGATGCGTAATTCACTCGTCTTATTGATATGGTGAATAAGATGAGGCTATATGGAGATACGATTGAAGATGGTGCAGTGGTTGAAAAAGTTCTTCGAACTATGCCGATGAAGTATGACCATGTGGTGGCTTCGATCACAGAGTCACACAAAACCGAGCTCTTATCAATTGCAGAGTTGAAAGGTATGGTAGAAAGTCATATTGACAGGATTGCGTCAAAATCGGAACCACTAGCAGAAGAAGCTTTGAAGAGCCAAGTCACCCTTAATGTGACTGCACTAATCAAAGAGGTGGAGGATCTGGTAGAGGTCGTGGAAGAGGAAGAGGAGGTTCTAGTGGAAGAGGTCGTGGTAACTTCAACCAAGGAGGAGGACGTGGTAACTCCAACCAAGGAAGAGGTGGAGGTAATACCAAACAAGGTAAATTTCCATTTCATTGCTACAATTGTGGCAAGTATGGGCACAAGATTGCAGATTGTTGGTATAATGAGGACAACAATCGTGGAAATCAAGCAAACATTGCTGAAAACACAGCTGAAAAGTCTGGTGAGAGTTCTGAAACTTTACTTTTAGCCAGCGATAGTTTTTCTGCAGATAAGAACATATGGTTCTTGGATACTGGGTGTAGTAACCATATGTGTGGGAAGAAAGAATTGTTTTCTGAACTGGATGAATCGGTCCAGTCTGAAGTGACATTTGGCAATAAGTCAAAGGTGCCAATTTTAGGAAAAGGTAAAATCTCTATTCAGTTGAAGGATGGTACTCACAATTTTATATCCGATGTGTTCTATGTTCCTGAACTACACCAAAATTTGTTGAGTATGGGTCAGTTGTCAGAAAAATGATACTACCTCCGTCCCATTTTGTTTGTCTGGTTCGGTTAACGAGGCTTGACTGAAGTTATTTTTACTTCAATTTTTTATAATATTAAATTTATTTTTAGTATATAAAATTTATATATTTAGAAACTACATTAAAGGTACTATTAAACATAAAAAATCAAATTTAAAAATAATTAAAAATTACTAAAAAAAATAAGCAATGAAGAAAGAGTTGAATTGACCAATGAATAGTAAACAGGACAGGCAAAATGGGACAGAGGGAGTATAAGATACATATTGCTCAGGGGTGTTGTACCATTGCAGATGCTAAAGGAGTTTTAATTGCAAAGGTAAATATGTCCCAAAATCAACTATTTCCTTTGAAAATTAAGCATACTCTCCTTGCTTGCTTTAATTCTGAAGTTTGTGATGATAATTGGTTATGGCATATGCGGTTCGGGCATTTTCATTTCTCTGGATTAAACTATCTTGCAAGAAAGGAACTTGTTTCTGATTTACCTGTTGTGAATGTCCCTAATCGTATCTGTGAGATTTGTGTGATTGGGAAGAAACATAGAGATCCCTTTCCCGTGGGCAAGTCAAGGAGAGCTACAAAACAGTTGGAGATTATTCACTCAGACCTATGTTCGTTGGAGGTTCCCTCACATGGAGGTTGTAAGTACTTTATTACTTTCATTGATGATTTCAGTAGGAAAACATGGGTTTACTTTCTGCAGCAAAAGTCTGAAGCATGTGTTGTTTTCAAACAATTTAAGACTTTTGTTGAAAAGCAAAGTGGTTATGAAGTAAAAATCTTGAGAACTGATAGAGGTACAGAATATATTGCTTGTGATAATTTTATGAAAGAAAAGGGTATTCAGCACCAAATGACAGCTAGATACACTCCACAACAAAACGGAGTGGCTGAGAGGAAGAATAGATCAATCAAGTGAAGTAATAAACATTTACTTCTATTCCTCTCTCTCTCTCTCCTCAATATATATAAATATAATATATATACATATTATATTTAATATATATTATAGATATATTATATTATATTTAATATATATTATATTAAATATATTATTTACTCTAGGACCAAAAATGTCTTTTACTCTTTTAAAATATTATTAAAAACCTTTGAAGATTGAAAACAGTTGTTTCGTTTCATTTCGTTATTATTGTTCATTTGTTCGGTATCAGATTGGTATCCGAGCCCGTAAAATCCTTAGGTATCCACATTTCGTTTCCTAACGCAGTGAGCCAAATGCATTTCGTTTGATGGCCTTAGGTATAGATAATTAATAGTGAAAGATATTATTATGTGCTTTAATTTGTTCTTGATTGATTCATATGATTGAATAAAATTTTATTAAGATAATGCTCTTTTTTTTTTTTTTTTTTGAAAGGCCTTTGAATCCCTAACTTATTTTTGGGTGTGTATATCATTCATAGCGAATCAGCACATCTGACAATTTTATTTGACCTAAATAATTACATTCCTAAAATCTAATTAGGCATATGACATCATATATAATGACAAAACACAAATTTTGGTTTTGCATAATAATATAAAAAAGTGTGGATTCCAAAATAGTGCTAATCATTTCATTCAATCCAAAGTGAACTCACCAACTAATGATGATTACATGTGAAATGTTAAATTTATAATTTATGAACTTTTAGTTTTAAATTTATTTATCTACAATTTATATATTATGAAATTAGAATAATGTTGAAATTATTATTTGATATGATATATTTATTGGTAACAACTTACGTATCTATATATGTAGGTTTATGTACAGACAGTTGACAGAGATTATATACTTAATTACTACAAAAGTGAACGTTAACCAAACTAAAGAAAGCTAGGTTGGACTTCCATTTGGAAGGTTGTGAGTACGAACTTCAGTGGAGGTGTTATTGGTTCTTTGTGTTTCAGTAGGTTGAGAAAGTATATGAACAGATACTACAATGTAATAGAGCCAGTAGCATTCAAAAAAAAAATGAAAATGAAAAAAAAAAAACTAAAACAAAAAAAAACAAACAAACAAAAAACAAACAAAAACAAAAACAAAATAAATAAATAAATAAATACGGGAAGAGGGGGGTCACACTAATTTAAATGTCCGGATCCACGATATAATTTGCTTCTTGCGTCCTATTAGACTTTGATTTAAGAAAAATTGAAATCTTTTTGAGTTTTAACCACATCAATCATGGTTCACATGCGAAATATTCTATTAACTAATGAACATTCAATAAATAATGTATTTTTAGTACATTAATGATTTACATTGTATTCAAAAAAAGTACACTATTTGAGTACTGAAAGTACATTATTTTGTATAATGTATATTCAATATATGAATATTGTACTTTTAATATATTAAAAGTGTTTTTTTTTTTTTATGATGGTCCACACAACACCATGTGGACCATGATCCACACAATAATTTGCTTTCTCACATCAATTGAGCCATATATTCTTCCAAAAGGTTGAACCCCAACCCTAAGGGCCCCCCACACCCCGACCCGACAGAGTATTTGGGAGGATGTAAATCATGGTGACTCAACTGAACATGAACCACAGAGGCTAGATCGGTGCTCACTGCGCACAAGGAGCCTCCCTCACTTTGAGAGGTTGCTCCACACTGCCGCTGGTGAGTCATATATTCAATCAATAGTTATACTGTGGACCATGGTCCATAGTGTTATGTGGACCATAGTTGTCAAATTAAACTGTAATAGAATTAAAATGATACTTTAGTGTTGTTAAAATGAAACTAGTGTGTATGAAAAATAAAATTACAAAATAAAGCTCATACAATAATGTATATTGTCTAATGAAACTATAGCAAAATTAAAATGATACTTACTTCATGGACCACATTACTACATGGAACATGGTCTACAGTAAAATGGCAAATTATCTTGTGCATCCGTATGCACCATGCATGGTGCATACGGATGCAAAAACGACGTCGTTTTATTAAAAATTCGCGTCTCACTTTAAAAAAAAAAATTCAGTTTTGATTTCCAGCAACAACATTATATTGTGCATAATTTGAACTAAAATTTCATAATCGATGAACTAAAATTCCAGAATCGATGAACTAAAATTCCAGAATCAATAAACTAAAATTCCAGAATGAACGAACTAAAAATCCATAATAAATGAACTAAAAATCCATAATGAATGAACTAAAAATCCATAAGTTCGAGCACATCGGCGCTAGCCGGGGGGACTCACAAAAAAAAACAAAAAAAAAACAAAAAAAAAAACAAAACAAAACAAAACAAAACAAAAACACGAGTAATTAAAGGGGAGATAACAGCAGGTAAATGGTGGCAACCATCACAATAACAAAGTAAATGAGCCAATTGTTCATTCAAAATATTCAAAAAGCATCCAAGTCTAGAACATCACCAAGGGAGAACAAGGTCGGCCACTTTGAGCTCGGGCCACGTGCGTGAGGGAGGTCGAGGCGCGGAGCAAACCGACTCGGGGGGAGCGGAGCAAGGAGGTGGAGCAACCTAAGACGTCTCACCTCAGCCTAAGACGTCTCACCTCGACCCAAGACGTCTCACCTCGGCCCAAGACACCTCGACTCAAGACGCCTCGGCACAAGGCACCTCGGCCATGGTGAGCTCGGCTACATTCGCACATGGAGGTCGGGTCCGGATATTTACTCTCATTCGTTGACTTCTACTCGCAACGAAGAGAGTGGGGGACTCATGATGGATATATTATACCCACGACCCGATCCGGGGTAGCAACGCAGACCCGGAGCACCATGGAGGTGCCCAAGAGAAACATAGACCCGGAGCGCCATGGAGCCCCCCGACCCGAGCCGACCTACGTGGGGTTCGGGTAGGGGAGCTCGGTACCACCCGAGCTCGGGACCCGACCCGACTCGGTCCACCCGGGCCCGGTCAAAGTAGAGATCTAACCACCCCCGATTTAGGAGGAGGCGGTTGGGGGTTTAGCTTGTATAAAAACCCCCCTCCTTGTCCTAACAAGGGGCAATTCTATCTACGTTCTACATTTATTACACACTTTGTCTTACCGAATCTTTGTAATAGCCAATTCCTACGGCAATTAATATAATATACGGTCCTCAACGACCTTTTCGACATCGTTTCATTCATTTATTTATTATTATTCATATTTTTATCCGGATTTAGTGATTCGGGTCCACCCCGGATAATTAAATCCATCAAACTTCATATTCACAATTATTGAACTTTATATTCACAATTACAACTCTATGCTCATAGTTATAAAACTCTATGTTCATAATTTTTGAACTTCATATTCACAATTATTGAACTCTATATTCACAATTACAGAACTCTATATTCATAATTATAGAACTCTATGTTCATAATTTTTGACCTCTATATTCATAATTTTTGAACTCTATATTCACAATTATGACGGTTTTGACAAAATGGACACGGTTCCGCAGCATAATTTGCCGAGCACATTAGTTTACCAAAGTAATTTAGTAGTTAAATTATCCAGATTACTCAAAGCATCGAGTGTTATACTGTTATTGCTAATTATGCATATGATTTTAGCTTCAATTATAAATTATCTAGAGGAGCATACACAATGGTCTGATAATTCCTTTTTTCTACTATCTTAGCTTATATTGGATTCGTAAAATAAGCTACAATAGAATTCAAATATATATATATATAGATTGGACCAATCTTCCTCGTTTGTTCAGCAAAATAGCAATAAGGTCATCTCCAATATGAAAAATTATATATATATATATATATATATATATATATATATATATATATATATATATTAAAGACAAGAACATCCTAATTTTTCATATTGGAGGTGACCTTATTGCTATTTTGCTGAACAAACGAGGAAGATTGGTCCAATGTAATGCACTACACTTCAACTAGTATTAATGAAGAGGGAACAATGGGAGGTGTTTTAATCTCTTTGTTAAAAAAATGAGTTGAGTGAAAGGATTTTGTTGGTAAGTTTAGATTAGAGCATGATATTGTCTAGGAACCAATCTAACATTCAACTCTATAAGTAAAATTCTTTGGACCACCTCTTGCTTTCGCAACGTGACGCTGATTACTATACAAGTATAAGGAAATAGAATTGTGTTTTCGTTAATAACTATAGCTTTTGACATAATGGTAAGCACTTGATCTAATAATTGGTATCAAAACCAAATGTGTGAGGTTGGCCCAAAAAATGACTACCAGAAGTTTAAATAATATTTTAGTGTTGTAAATTTATTAGATTCTAATATTTGATGTTCATTCTAGAAAAGTTTACTTAAAGTTTGAAGAATCGGTGATTCTTCCCAAACAGAAGATCTTGGGTTTGGAGAATAAAAAGATATTTCCCAACTTTAGATTATGAGGTATCCCTAGATATTCCTAGAAGATCTTAGGAATCAAAATAAAACTTTGTCCGGATATCAATCGACCAACAAATCATTATTTCATGTGGATATATATGCTTATGAAGGTCTTCTGATAAGACATGAAGGTATGATGATGCATATTATATTAATTAATATAAGAAATTGTTAATTAGCTATACAAATATTTAATCAGTTAATAATTTAAGTATCAAATTTAAACTATTGTTACCAGGACTATGTAGTTTAATGATATTCGGGTTGGACTTCTATTTAAAAGATTATGAGTTCGAGTTTTAGTGGAGGCTTATTGGTTCTTTGCGTTTCAATAGGTTGAGAAAGTATATGAACAGATACTATAATGTAATAGACCCAGTAACTTTCAAAAAAAAAAAAAAAATTAAACTATTGTTTCTCTTTATTGGAGGTTGGTAACGGAAATTTTAGAACTTTTTGTAATTACCCCTGGTCTCCATGCATGTCCGGGGGTGGTTTATTATCACTATTATTGCCTATTTTCAGAGTTTGTATGTCATATAAGTTCAAGAAATTTTTGAAATATTTTCGTAACTTTTTCTTCCTTTGTTCTTATTACAATCTGAGTAATATGTTAATTTTCTTGTATCTCACAAATTTTATTTGTTCTGTGACCCAAATTATTTATATAGGGTGATTAAAAACTAACTTGTAAGAAGTGTATTTGATACAGGGTTGAAGTTCTTGATTCTTTGTTTTTCATCGTGTTTTTCTACATTCAGCAGATATTTACCTAAAAAGGTAAAGGTGTGACGATTAGGGAGCGTTTGGTTCACGGAATGTTAGATTACATTAGGGAATGTTAGATTACTGGTCGAGAATGTTAGATTCCTGTGTTTGGTTTAAAACTAAGATATGTAAATAAGACAATGGTAATAAGATAAATTGATTAAAAAATACAAAGCCCAACATTAATAATAAGACAAGGAAATGTGAGATTATCTAAGAAATTAGAGGGTATCTCACATTCCCTTCCAATAGCTAAAAACTTAATGCCGAAGTTATCTGACATTTCTTGAGAAAGTTATATAACTTGAACCAAACATAAAAATTTTATATTACCATGCAAATATAACATTGGTTATCTTATATAACATGAACCAAACGTCCTCATACAGTATGAAATTACTAAGAATTTATTACTGTTATTGAATCTAATTCAGCATATGACAGCGTAATAATGACTAGCTACTTCCGCTATAATATGCATTGTTGCACTTTTTATTTGTAGTGTATTAGTCATCAATTAAGAACTAAGAATACGTGAAGTTCAAACTTCTATTTCATTGAGAGCATTTTCATAAAGAGATTTAGGATCAGTTTTTGAGGTATGTTGAAAGAGGAAGAGGAAAGACGGTGAGGTGAGAAAAAAAGTGAGGTCCTTGTAATAAAATGGAGTTTTTTGTCAGAAATATGGGCCCATCATCAATTTGATCTGCGCACTTCTGCGCGTTGCATAGAAACAGCGCGCCTAGCGGACAAGTGCCGTTAAGCATTATTTTTTTTTAGTTTCTAATTTTGTTTTGTTTTGTTTTTTTTCTTTTTTTCTTTTTTCTTCACCTCTCATTTTTTCTTTCCTAATCACACCTGCAAAACTCTTCAAAAACTTGCCACTATTGAAGATGCCCTAATGGTCTTCCATGTATGCATGAAGAAGTGTGATGAAGTAAGATATTTTCTAAAGAGTTAAAAGTTTTTTTAACAAAGAAAATCCTTTATTTAATCCTCTGTATTGCCTTGTTATGAAGCAGAGAGTATTAAGATATATAATTTTTTTAAAGTTACTGACTCTAGTACAATGTAGTATATGTTTTCTATACTTTTTTAATCTGTTGAAGCACAAAGGATCAACACCGCCTCTATTGAGGCTTGATCTCATGATTTTCCATATGAGAGAGTCACTATATGCCATCTGAACACAACACAGTTAGAAATCAACGAATTGCCGACCACTTTCTCGTCGGTAGTTCGACCACTACACACAGTGGTCGGAAATGCCGTCCACAATAATAGTGCGTCAGAAACTTTTCATTGCATGCGATAGTCAGATTTTGTTACTTTCCCACCACGGGCTATACCTTAATTATAAGAAATAGCAATTCCCGACCACCAAGTGGTCGGAAATTTCTATTTCTTATAATTAAAGAACAGCCTTTCCGACAACTAAATGTCAAAAATGATTTAAAAGAAAAAAAAAAAAATTCTCTGCTATTAATTTAACCTGCAACAATAATTTTAAAACAAATAGTACTTTTATAACAATGTAACATCACCAAAAACTAGCAATTTTATAATTGTAACTTCACATTTTAAAGAATAGTAACTACTTTACATTTCAAAAAGTAGAAGCTTATTTACAATTCTAAATACTTCTATATTAGCATAGTATGTAAAAAATTGAGGTATTGAAAATATAGTGGAGATTATGTATCATCATTCACATTGAGATTATCTAACCCGACATAGTACACTTCGAATCACTATCATGCAACTGCCGGGGTTGTGTTGGATGTTAGGACATCAAACTTTTACTCTTTTGCGACATAATTCAGGCTATTAAACCACACAAAAGATCAACATAATAGATTGTTCCAAAATAAAATCTAAGAATGAAATGTAAGAAGAAAAAAAATACCAGTTTCTGCTCAAAAAGGAAGCAAGTGAATGCAATTCAATTCTTCAGATCAAGGCCAACTTTTGCAACTTCACCATCAAAAACATATTTTTGCACCAATTATGCTGTGTCAACACAGTAATTTTAAATCATTAATTCATGTTAGTAAAATCTTTTTCATTTCTTCGAATATTACACATACATGTCTTACTCTCATTAGGTATAAAATATATAAAATAAAAACATAATATGAATTATCACTAAGATGATAGCAAAGAGATGATCATTATTCACTAAGGTTGATGTATATCCAGAATAAAACTATAGAAAGAGGATTGGATCACTGAGGGTGTTCACAGATTGGATTTTGAAGTAGAGGGTTATGGGAGCAGCAAAAATAATACATATGACTGTTGTATGTTATTACTTAATATCATAGCAAACAGCAAGCCTACTAGCATGGCTCCCATCCAGGATTAGATTGCAATAATAAATAACTTATAACTAAAGAAGTACATGAAAACTATCTATTTTTGCAAACTTATAAAGTTTCCAAAGAAACAGGCATAATCTGACTCATTGATTACAAAGATATAAACAAAGAATATCAACATTTCCTTGTTGCAGGGAACTAGGTGCAAAGTACCTGAAACCCCCGGAAATATTCTAGAATTTTCTCAGAATGCATCAATGCAAACTAAAAAAAGATAAGAGCTATAAATTCCATCGATTTCTTTCATTTTCATTATCTTAGTTCAATGTGATACTGTAGCAGATGAGAAATTGAAAAATCTCAGAAGCATATATGGCATTTTCACTGAGTACTTGAACATGCATTTTCATGTTAAGAACAGAAAAGTAAGACTAATGCATATTGGCAATGCATGAAAGCATGAAAACATGAAAACAGAATCATGGGTGACTCATTCTTGACATCCTAATCAAAATGAAAACAATGAAATGAATGACAATACAAGCTTCAACCTTAGGGTTGCACAGTAGCTCAGCAGTTGTCTATAAACCAATTACTATCCATCAGAAAATGCATGTAAGTGTTGGATATGTTACAATACCAAGATCCACCTTCACTTTTGCTTCTCAAGCAATCAGTAAATATCTAGAGTAGATCAACAATCACTGCTTTACTTATAGGGTTGAAACCAGCTTGACCAGTACCTGCTAAAGTACTCACTGATTTACTTACAGGATCTAGCTTCTTAATCTGGCAATCAAAACAGCTCCAAGTCAAATAAGATATTGAACAAAAATGACTCTCTATTACATCTTCGAGTTAACACCAGAATAATCATAGGTTCCAGAATTAAAATAATAGCAGATTTATTGCGGATATCTTTCTCCCATAGTATCAGAAAAAATTAAAATTGCATTCTTTTCTTCTGTCACTTTAGCTTCAAAGTATCATAAAAAATACAGATGCACTTTATTTCTAAGTAACAAACCCGTATAGTATAAATTTGCCAAATTTCTGTTTGTCATGCATATTATTTGACACTAACCAACTCATTTAGCTGCCATCTCCTTTGTGGTCTTATGGCATTCGGTATAGAAGGTCCCAGGATCAATTCCCATCCCAAGCATGGGTTGGAATACCCTTGAAAGAAGGTGGTCCTGGAAGGAATACCCTTGAAAAAAGGGCGGTCCTGGAAGATCTCAGAAGAAAAAAAAAAAAAAAAAAAAAAAAAAACCAACTCATTTAGCTCAAAAAAAAACTCACCAAATATGTGCAGAATCTCACCAAAAAACTCAAAAAAATAAAAATACTTTAATTTCTAAGATATCAGAAAGGTCAAACGTTCAAATGGCTTGTTGTTCTACTTCCAAGTACGTCGTCGCCGGTGCGTCGTCCAGTGAGGGCAGAAGATGAGCTGCCTTGTTTCCGGTGCGTCGTCGAGTGAAATCAGAAATATGTTGGGGATTAGAGTGAGGGAGGAGGGTGTGAAATTTGGGGCAAAATGTTGGGGATTACGCGGGCAGAAATGCACAGCATAGAGGAGTGACTAGTGAGGGAGGAGGGAGTGACATTTGGGGCAAAATGTTGGGAACTAGAGGGGCTGAAATTTTTTTTTTGGGGGGGGGGAGGGTTTTGGGCGTGGCGTTATTTTTTTTAATTTTTTATTTTTCCCGTGTGATGTATGGATTAAAAATTATAAGTGTTATCGTTGTGTTATGATATTAAGAATTATTAGTCAAATTAAATTATAAGTATAAATATATTATTTAAAACTTATTCAAGTTAAATTAGTCTATATTTATTGTTAATACATTGAAAATATGTTCAAATATTATAACTATTAGTATGACATTTGTAATGTGCGATGCATATACTAAAAATTAAAAATATTAAATTATACAATGTTATTAAAATTTATTAATAATCACCATTTCCACCCCCCCCCCCCCCCTCCCTTCAAGAGACCTAGACGAATGCCCAAACCGGCACAAATTAAAGAATTGAAATATTAAAATCTTGATATGCTTAAAAAAAACCATTAACATTATTAAATTTCATATATAAAAATACAATATGAGGTTAATCATTTATAAAATTTTGTTATTTAATAATTATGCTTTTATTTGTAATGGCACTAAGATGTTGAATTGATATTGACGGTAAAAATGTTACCGGTAATAATAATATTAGAATAACGGATTGTAACAATAGTTGTATTGCCTTAGTTTCAGTATAGAAAATAACGGATTGTAACAATAGTTTCAGTATAGAAAGTATTGAACGTGTCCCCTCAAGCTGAGGGGAGCATCTACTTATACAAAGGTGCCAACGGTAACAATATAGGATATAAATGGGGAACCAAGCTTTTAATTCTCTCTCATCAATGGTGGCTTCAATTGCAATAAAGGTGACACCTGTTGGAATTCTGTCTGCTGGAGTTTTGCCCGTTGGGTCTCCATGTGGTGCCGGGTCAAATATGGCGCCGGGTCAGATGCCCACTTATGATCCGGGTCGGGTGCCAGCCCTATTATCCTGTCACCAGTCCCCCCTACTCCTGAGTCTACGGATGTGTTTGAGTTGACTTGGGAGTAAGGTTGAATCTATCTTGAGACTGCGCAGAATCCTGAGTGATTTAGGATATGCGATTTTGTTTTCCAAATCCCTCATGATTTGTGCTTTCCAAATTCTTTCTTGCCCGAGTGGTTTGAGCACCTCTCTATCAGCTCTTGTCACCATCTGTAGGTTTCTGGGGTTTATCGTTACCATTTTTTTCTTCTAATTTGTTTTTTTTTTTTTTTTTTTTTTGCGGCGTGGGCCGGCATCGGGCTGGGGAGCCACCACAGCTGGTCGAGGCGAGTGCCCCGCCCTGTGGCCGAGGCGTGTGCCTCGGCCTTCTTTTTTTTTTTTTTTTTTTTTTTTTTTTTTTTTTTTTTGCGGTCGAGACGGGCTTCGCCCTAGGTGGGCAGGCCGAGGCGCGCATTTTGGCCAATGCCTCGGCTGATTGTGGCCAAGACGAGCTTCGACCCCTTATTTTTTTTTTTTTTTTGTATGCCGGCCAAGACGGGCTGCGGCCTAGGCTAGCCAAGGTGTGTGCCTCCCGCCGATCGCGGTCGAGGCGTCGCCTCGAACGATCGTGGCCGAGACGTCGCCTCGACCGATCGTGGCCGAGATGTGCGCCTTGGTCGATCGTGGCCGAGGCGGGCTCCGGCCTATTGTTTTTTTTTTTTTTTTGTTTTTTTTTTTGTTTTTTTTTTTTTAAGGCGTTCTATGGATGCCGAAAACGAACATGCTTCAATAAACAATATGGGCGGACCATTTTTCCGAAGACGCTTCGTAAATGATGATTATGCTTGTAGACACAGAAAATTTGAACCTGATAAATGGACCGATTAAAGTGTTATTGGGCCAATGTTGAGAATGATGATTGGGCCAATTTGATTAATTGGATCATAGAAATTAATTTAATTTAATTAGCCCAATTAAGTTTGATGTGGGTCATTGAATTAATTAATTAACTGGTCCAAGCCCATTTCATATTTTGAATTTGAATTATAAATTATAATTATAATTTAAATATAATATTAATTTTATTATACTTCAATTAGATAATTATAATTTAATTTGAATTTGAATTAGATTATACAATAATGAACCTGGACTTGATCTTGGACAAGGTTCATTTTCCTAATTAATTAATTAATTAATTAACTAAAAAGGGGGGTTGGTTGAGGAATTTTGGTTAAGCTTTTAGTATAAATAAGGCCTTCGTTTTCATTCCAACACACACTTAAAAGCTTGAAGAACTTGAAGGCTTAGAGCTTGAAAGCATTGAACAACTTGAAGACTTAAGGAGTTGAGAGCATTTGAAAAGCTTGAAGGCATTGAAAAACGCTTGATTACTTCTAAATACTTGACGCTCGTTGTTGGAAGTCACGCCACTTAAATCTCGGAAGCTACGCCACTTAAATCCCGGAGGCACGCGCCACTTAAATCATGGAGGCTACGCTATTTGAATCCCGGAGGCACTTCAATAGATAACGTCAGTGAAGGATCAGAGGACTAGACAAAGATTTTGTACCTGCATATTAAATTATACATACACTGTACGAGGAATTTTGTGGAATATATACAAAGTTTACTTTTTGTGTTTACAGATTTTGGCATGCCCAATGGGACAGCTCCGCCTCTCATCTCTTCACTGTTGATTCGCGAGCTCTATAAGGAAGGAATCTAAATGGCATCAAGAAATCCCTCCTCCAAGATGACATATGCTCTGGCTACCCACTCCAGGGCATTATTTGCGTCCGGTTCCGGTGATAGCCAAGGCGTGGGAGGAGCAATGACTCGAAGCCGAGTGAGGAACCTAGGGGTGCAGCTGCACGAGGCCTGGGACATTGCCCGCCACATCGTCCGAAGGATTGATAGAAACTCCACTATGTCACGGAGAGCTGCACATGACAAAGGATCATCCTTTACAAAGGTAACTGTTGTTGACCAGAATCCTACAAGTGAGGGGGTTCCAAGCAACAAGAGTCCTGCGAGCCCTATTCCCTCGAATAAAACTCCAAGCGGTGGAAATTCATCACAGTCGTCACTTCTTCAGAGAACCTCACCGGAATGGAATCACATATACACAATTATGCCCGCTATGACAACGAACGCGGCTTCGGTGGAAGAACAACTCGCAAACATCACTAAATACCTCGAGGGGATAGCTGCACTCATGCATAACCAAGAAAGGCGGATCAATGAGCTCGGCGAAAAGGTTGAAAGCGGAAGAAACGACGAAGCAAGTCGAGCTTCCTGGAAGCAGCTTCAAACCCAAGGAGATGAGATTGATGTCGAGTCACCACGCCATCAAAGTAGGCCAGGAATAGAAGAGACAATCTCTCGTCCATCACCCGCCGAGAAGAGTATTCCAATTTCTGAGGGCATGATACCCGTCGAGCAGTTGAACGACTAAATCATGGGAGCAATTAAAGGGAAGCTCGAGGGAAGACAATCTTCATATACTTACACTAAGCCATATACTCAGAGAATTGAAGAAATGAAAATGCCGCTGGGCTATCAGCCTCCCAAGTTCCAGCAGTTTGATGGAAAAGGCAACCCGAGGCAGCATATCACCCACTTTGTTGAAACCTGTAATGATGCAGGAACATACGGAGATCTCCTCGTCAAGCAGTTCGTCCGCTCTCTGAAGGGCACTGATTGGTACACAGACCTGGAGCATGGTTGCATTGATAGCTGGAATGATATGGAGCGCGAGTTTTTCACCCGCTTCTACAGCACCAGGAGGACTGTCAGCTTCTTGGAACTCACTACTACCCACCAATGGAAGGGTGAGCGTGCTGGCGCTTACATCGAGAGATGGAGGGAGTTGTGCCTTAACTGTAAAGAGAGGATATTACAAAGCTCCGCAATTGAAATGTGCATCCAAGGGGTGTGCATCCAAGGGATGTACTTCGAGCTCTCTTATATCTTGCAGGGAATCAAGCCTAGAACATTTGAAGAACTATCCAGTCGTGCTCACGACATGGAATTGAGTATTGAAGCCAATGGGGGGCTCGGCATGTCAAGTATCCCTAGCTCATCCAAGGCACCTGTAAAACAAGAATTCAAGAAAGGGGGCAAGCCCTTCCCGAAACAAGAAAAGAAGGAGGCCATGAACGTAAAAACAACACCAATGCGGGTTTTCGCCAAAGTGACTGAAAATCCCAGGCTAAGGTCATTTTTCCGCCCATCTCGGGGTACTAGAATCATTTAAGAGATGCAGCAAAAATAGTATCCGTTCTTGGATTCTGATGTGTCACCCATGTTTGATGAATTGTTAAAGCTCAAGTTGATTGAATTGCCGGAGATGAAGCGTCCCGAAGAAGCTTCTAAGGTGGATGACCCCAACTATTGCAAGTATCATCGTCTCCTCGGACACCCGATTGAAAAATGCTTCGTCTTTAAAGATAAGGTGATGAGACTTGCTCGTGATGGAAAGATTGAGCTGGCTGATGCAACTGCCAGCACCAACCAAATTTCATTCGGAAGGTTCACTCCGTTAGTTGAGGAAAGTGATGAAGAGGATGGGGGCAAGCAATACAAACGCCCGCTTCCATTTATTGTGAAACGTGTTACTAGGCAACAGCCGGAGTTACCACAAGTCAATCCGGTATGCGAGAAGGATTGGGTAATTGTTACCCGCAAAAAACAAAGGAACAATGCTGGACATGTTAGATCTTTGAAGAGAATAACGAAGCAATGGGTTGAGAGAAAGCCAACAAGGGACCTCGCCTATGACACAAAGATGAGAGGACGTCCCGGCACGTCTCGAACACCAGTTGCCCTGGCTCAATACATGCCGAAGGTGCTTCCTCCGCATGGGACAAATATTCCCGGAACTCGCTTGAATATTAAAGAGAGACATGTTGAAGACGAGGAATGTTCATTCCCCGTGATTGAGGGAGGTGACGAGGTTCAAGTCCACAAAGCCGCGTCTTATACCGCCGAGATAACTTTTAAAGATGAGGATCTATTGCTTGGTGGTACACCACACAATCGTCCGTTGTTTGTTGAAGGTT